GCAAGGAAATAAAAGGTCTTTTTTCCCTACTGAAAACTGCAATAGGGAATCTGTGGACCATTTCATGTAGAACGAGCAAGAACAGTGCTTTGTTCCTGGATCACTCACCATGCTTTCACTCTACTACCAGGACGTCTCCTAAAATCCACTAGCAAAATCCAAGGTATACTGAGTACCATGTGGGAATTGGTCCTGCACCTCTACATCCATTTTTCTATGTAAACACCAAAGTCCTAAGGGGCTGGTTAAAATAGGTTTTCCCAATCTAAAGAGTCAAGCTTATGGTTCACTATTACTCCCAAATTTCAGGCTTCTGTGTCTAGATAGCACACACCTCAGCAACCACGAAAATCCCATTCAAGTTACACAGATCACCTGCCACTCATCTTTGCAATAAGCAAAGCTGTAACAGGCACACACACAACCTCCTTAGGACATAGTCACTGGAGACAATACCGATTATTTCAGTAAATTGCTTATACTGAAATCCCCAGTCCCCGGTAAGTCTGCAAGATATCGGGCAGAACTCAACACCAGACCTCTTTGACAACAAGAAATGACAAACCCATCACCTGGTGACTTCTCTCACCTCCTCAACAGACGATTTCTGTGTATCAGTCACATAGTCTATCAATGAGAGAACATGATGCCTTTTCTGGGTCTTCAGTTTGAGACTGAGAAAGACCCAGACAGCCAGAAAGCTAAAAGGAAAACCCTAAAACAACCCCAGCAGGTCCTGCTGTCTACTGCTCAGAGGGTACTTGCTGAAAAAAATCATGGGGAGCTTCCTTCATCAGGGAAGAGTTGCTTCAGTAATGACAAACAGTCAGCCAGTCTCAGAGGACTCCCTTTCTACAAAAGAACCTTGCAGCCTATGCAGGCAGAGAAGCAAGCAGAGGAAACTCTATAGAGTGCAAAAAACCAGGAAACAAAAGAAGGGGGAGAGATGTGATATACACTGAAACTAAGCTATTTGGCCTTCTCTTCAGTCCTACATAAAACCTTTGGAAAAGATTTATCACAGTATTCTTGTGATTAAAATTCAAGTATTGCCTATGAATAAATTCTACACAAGCGCACAAAGATGAAAGCACCATTTTTGTCAGAAGTCAGATGACACATACAATCTTCCATTTACTGATAGACTGTCTTTAAAATCATTATAAGCTTGGAGTTGCTAATGTGGTGGAAGAGGGTGAGGGGACAACATACAA